CCAAACACATCTCACCCAGAAAGCCGCGCCTCCCCCAGCTCACCAAACCACATCGCCGCCCTCCCTTCCATGCAAGGTTTTGTCAGACACTACTGTTCTCCTCTAAATTATCTACCATAGAATTACTCCATATTCCCGTGTAACCATTCCAATATGACGCCTTGTGAATGGAGGCAAGGGTCCGCTTGCACAAAGATACTTTTTATTGTGTGGTTTCTGGCGACTGACTCTTCTGTAAAACGAAAACTAGAATCCAGCAGTCGACATGCTGTATTTAGGAGCGTCGTCTTTACAAATGTTACACTGCTGTGCAAGCAGGCTGCAGTTCTTCCTTGAAAAGCAAAGGCGTCGCGGGGAAACAGGTTCACGGTGGGGAAGCCAGTGCGTCTAAACGAGAGAAACTCTGCAATTATGAAGCAAAAATGGCTGCTGGCTGTGGCGGCAGTTATGTCAAATTAGAGGACCTCTCCTCAATAAGCAAAATGTGAGAGCTGTAATCTTTTCCCCTCTATGTATACATTGTAATCTGCGGTCGCACTCGCGCTCTCACTTTGTGTGTTTAGTCTGGTGGCAAACAATGGCGGTTAGCTGGGTTAGCACAACACCAACCGGCCAGTCAGCATTTTGTTAGCTCGCCGAGGACGCCGCGCGACGTCAAAAGCCCGTACTTACAGGAATCTTATGACTTTTAATCATGTGATCAAACTCCTCGTTAATCTGTTTGTATTTCTCCTCGGTTCGCGGGGTGAGGAGGAGAGTGGATTCAAGCTCCGGGCTCTCGCCACCTTTGTTCTCCTTCTTGCTCAAAGCCTGCCGGGTCCCGCAACCAGCACAGGAGAGGGGTGGGGTGGTGGGGGAGGAAGAGGGACGGATGGCGGGGAGACATGACGGAAACGTGGAGATGAGGACGAAGCAACAAACAGCACAGTGGGGGTGGGAGAGAGGAGAGGAAAGAAAGAGGTGAGGAAGACTCGAGGTTCAACAAAAGGTACTTACACACAGTCTCTGTCTGCTGATCATCAGATCTATGTCCTCGTTTATTTTCCTGTATTTGTCCTCGGACTCGGGGCTGTGGCCGACCGAGTCATCTGCGTCGGGGTCGGGGCTGTCACAGCCATTTAGGCCCTTCTTTCTCAACGTCTGTAAACAAAGCAGTGGCACAGTACAGTTGAAGGGCTGCGGGCTTCAGGAAACCCAGCTGAACATTTTGGCAGGTGGAAGGGGGACAGACACCAAGATCAATTTAAAGCTTCATGCGCACATTCTGACTGATGATTTTCTGTACATTGGCAGATTTGCTCATCTTGACTCCACGGTGATGTGAGGATAAGATAAGATAAGATAAGATAAGATAAGATAAGATAAGATAAGATAAGATAAGATAAGATAAGATAAGATAAGATAAGATAAGATAAGATAAGATAAGATAAGATAAGATAAGATAAGATAAGATAAGATAAGAAAACCTTTATTAGTCTCGCAATGGAGAAATTCCCAATTCACAGCAGCAAAGTTATGAATGGAAGAAGTAGAACAACAAAATATAGGAGCTGCTGGAAAGGCAGCCACTCACGCGGCGCCATCTTGAAGTCAAAATAACAAAAATAACACAACACAACACAACACATAGGACACAGACAGTCGTGCAATCTTCACCACTTTCCTGCATACACTTTGTTTGATACACGCTTAGCAAAGCAAATGGCAAGTAATACAAGTGATAAGAAAATTACACTGAGTAGACCTTGCATAAAAATGGCTTCGGCGTCCAAAAAAAAAAAAAACACATGACAACTTTGGTGCAACATTCATATGTTGTACTTCTTCAAGAAAGGAGTTTTCAGGATCAGAATTATAAAGTTTTCAACATGAGAACAGAAAAAAACCCCAACAATGACCAGTGGGAGGTAAATAAAGAATAAACATGAAGGTGTGAGGTCACTGAAGGGCACATGGACACAATTGAAGGCAGCAGTTTCCATTTTGGCCACCTGATGGCCACCTGCCCCTATTAGATTGGGAGCTCAGGTCCACCACTCGAAGAGACTGTGCGAGACAAAGTCATTTTTTAATGAGGCTATTGTTGACAACTATAATTACCAAAGGCGATTTCAGAAGTACTATAGAATGTGTGTGTGTGTGATGTTTTGTGTGTGTGTGTGCACATTAACTAGAGCAAGTAGGCTACCGCTGAGCTATGTTGCGTTCATTTGTAAAGTGAGACAAAGACGAGACTGCGAGTGAAGAAAGTACAGTAGCTGACAGTTAGAGATCTCATCAAAGGCAGACAGACCCCCTTCTCCCATCCTCACTCCACTCCTAACCACCAACAGTCAACCACCCTGGCTTTAATAAAGGGAGATTAGTCTAGTGGAGGAATATCACGGGCCTGCTTCTGTCTGTGTAGTCATTGCTTCACACTGCGCTCCCCTACTTTCATCTGAGGCTCCATATCAGACAGGCGTAATTAAATTTACTTTAGTACACCCTGTATTTGATGCTGATGAAGTGTGTGTGTGTGTGTGTGTGTGTGTGTGTGGGCGCGAGGAGGGGAAGGATTGTGTGGTCGTGCAAGTGTGGGTGTATAAAGGAGGAAGGTAGATGCTGAGATAAGTTAATCTCAGTGAACTTCTTCCTCCCATTTGTTTGTCTGCGTTGGCGCTCGCTCACAAGAGGAGATACGAGTGATGCTAGCTGCTCCATCACGAGCGGCAGCGCCGTTGACAGGGAACGATCTGCCTGCTTAGAAAACAAATAACGATCCGCTCATCTCTCATGTCAGCACAACAAAGGCCTGTTTGGAGTGTGGTTTTAGTGAACTTAGAGGGCTCCTTTTGTGTACGTGATTGCTGTTTGATTCCTGAGGCGTCTGGTGGCGAAGCAGCGACTGTATAAGCGTGTCAGCATTCACCGGCTCTCTTCTTTCTCTTGTCTTTTTCCAAAATTCTCACTTGCCCGCTGCCGCCGCCGCCCCCCTCCCTCCCCCGAGAGTGGAAATCTGGAATTCGGAATTTGAAAGCCTCTCTCACATCTCTGACAGTCTTCAGGAAATCACACCAAACAAACGCAAGGAGAGGTGACTTCTAACAGAGCATCCGCGAAACAGGCGCTCTCGCTTCATGTGAGGTGTGTGAGTCAGGAGAACAAAGGGGTTGCAGAGGTTCATCACGCTCTCTTTTTTGGCATCAGCGTGAGATGTGAAATCTCCAGTTTTTGTCTGTCTTTGGTGCAGTTGCATCGGGGTCCTGGCGATGCATCGTCTTGAACTGACAAGAGTTGAACTACTGGCCCTGCTCTGCTCACATGACAAACCAAACCAAAACTTTCCTTCCAAACTTCCGTTTATTTCCACCAATTCGGGATGGACCGCGTTTTAATTCTTTGATTGTTGATTGCTCAGAATTCTGTCCATTGTGTGGGACGGTTTGTTGATGAAACGTGGCTTGATGAAGCAAAATAGGGTGCACTACTTGGCTGTAACCAATTGAGGATCCGACCATTCTGTCTCAATGTGTTTGTGGCACAAAGAAGAAAAAAATAACAAGTTATCCGAGACAACTTGGCTATGGAAACTCCTTCCGGTAACAACACCAGCATCAGATAGGAGTTCAGAACATTATACTTCAAAGGTGGGCAATTCATTTCGCAAATTGTCTAGATTAAAATCTGGAACATTTGCCGAGGGCCAAGGCACCACGCTAATCCCAATTTTGTTTACTTTTTGTATTTCTAAGAAGCGCATTGCCATGTTTCAATAGTTTTTGAAGATGTTATGATTTGTTGAAGTAATTAGGAAATACCCGTTCAAAATAAAAAAAAAAAAAATGGAAGCTGTGATTGAAATTGCATCTTTACACATTAAAAATGATAACATTCATCTTGTGCACCGGCCGCCAACTCATATTAATCGTTCCAAGTCAAGACTCCCAATATATAGATAACTGGAAGGCATAATAATACCCTCTACACATGTGAAACTGTATATTTGTGTCGTTATCAGGCCAAATCTTCTTGGGGCTCTTCCACCCATAGCACAGGAAATAAGAATGTTGCTAGCATGAGGACCACATTTTATTTTGGGGGGACAGGGGGGAAGTATTTGTTCGAAGGTTCCGAAAAGTCTAGAATAACGTCGCGAAAATGTTGCAAGCTGGCCTCAGTCATTGCTCTTGCTCACTACCTCGCTCTCCACATGTACGCAAAAAAAAAGCAAAATTTTCAAAATAAAAGCACAGGATATTTGATGTTTTACTTTGACTTCGTTGTCACTGTCAGGGTTGGTCAAAGACCGTCGCCCCCGGGTCGTACTTTGCCTAGGTCTGCCGTCGTTAGTCAAACGCCCTTCGCTAGATCAAATATACATGTCCATTTTAGGAAAAAAAGAGCGATGCCCGAGGGAAAAGGAGGCAACCAAAAGGGCTTAAAGAGCGGGTGGTCACGCAAGGGGGTCGCGGCACTGCTTGTCTTGGGTGTTGATAGGTCGCAGAGTGTTATATGACTTGGAAGCATGCGGCCCTGCCCCCCCCAGGGGGGCTTAGCGTTCCAGCGGGGCTCAGCATTTTGAGGCAGCGCTACGGGGGCGCTATGCCACTCATCCCAGTTATGGCCACCTGTCTGCCGACATCACACCTGTTGCCAAAGGCTGACACACGACCCAGCATCCAATCGCGTCCGCCGCAGTGCTCACATCGCCATAGAAGGCACAGCTGTGCTCACACCTCACACCCTAACGTCATTGTATGTATTTATACATGGTGCGTGTGAGCGAGGGAACGGGAGATGGAGGAAGTATACTTCTTGGGAGAGGAGGAAAAAAAAAAAGGCGTGTGAGCGAGGGAACGGGAGATAGAGGAAGTATACTTCTTGGGAGAGGAGGGAAAAAAAAAAAGCAGTTTTTTTGCCCGCTTGGCTCTTATGTCTTTGTGCGGCCCCTTTGGAGGCTTGCTCCTAATTAAACTCCTTCTTCATGATGCTCCCTCATGACTCGGCTTGTCACAGGGCCTCTGCCAAGCAGGGACGGCATAGACACGGTGGCCTACATACTAAGACACCCGTCTCATCAGTACCCTTCAGCTCTTCACCCAAAGTTAGAAAGGCCCACATGGTAAAATCAGACATGGGCAGTCAATTCAACGGTGGTACGTTGTAGGCAGGACAGAATTAATTTTAGAAGATGGTCAATTGTTTTTTTTTTTTTTGGGGGGGGGGGGATTTAATTGTCTTCATTAAGTTTGGGGAAAATGAACAATCCACGATTCTCTCAATTGGATATAGCTAGCAATTAGCTGACGTCACGTCGTCCTTTGGATAGCAAACCTGTTGAGACTGACCGAGCGGTGTACTCAGTTCTGCTTCAAAATGCAAATGCTAACAACTCATTCGACTCAGACTGAATTCTACTTGCAATATGCCTCCTTGGAATATTCCGCTTTCTTTTGTTTCTGAAGTTTTGCAGAGCATCTGTCATACAAATGTGTTTTGAATTGTAACAGTTCCTTAGCACAGTGCAGGGTGTGAGTAATAACTCCGAGCATCCTCGCAGGGTATTTGGGTGTGAATTCTGATCGGTCCCCGGGGGGTCTGAAAGGGACAGCTGATGCCCACCATAGCAGGATCCTTCTGTTCGGCATTCTGCCACCCTTCGCACCCTCTCCAGCCCTATGATCCGTCTCTCTGTCCCAGTCTGCTTCTCAGTCTGTCTCCCTCGGCCCAACCGTGCGGCCGTCCCTCTCATTCTCTGGACTCGCACCATATCTCAACATAAGCAGAGTCAAAACAGTGTTGGCTAGACGTGTCCGTCTTTATTTTTGACAGACGTGCGTGTTAGGTGTTGGGTTATGTTTGGAAAGCTCTTGATTGCTGACCGTCGTCTTGGCAGTGGCTGAAGGGTACGACATATTCAATATTGTGTTTATGGCTATCGGCGACAGACGAGGCCAGTCGATGTATCTGAATGTCTCCAAGCCAGTAGCATTGGTGCAACATTCTCACAAAAAAAAAAAAAACACAGCTTGTTTCTCTTCATTATTGGTCTTTGTCAAAACAGGACATCAGAAAAAGTTCTTTTCGGGGTTTTCCCATAGCGGTTATCTTTCATATTTGTTCAAATACAATAAGTGACACTTCTTTCCCGTGATTGC